GCCATTTAACCTGCTCTACTCGTCTTATCATCCTCCACTGGTGCCCCGCCAGCATAAACCGTTAGCGCAGACGGGTGCACCTAATCCCGGATCTTGAGGAGGGGGAGGTAACGAGTAAACACGAGGGTATATTGTAAAAATGTTGGCTAGAGTGGGAGAGCGGCGGAGTGTTAGGGGAGCAGTATTTATTAGTTTTTGCCGATTATATGACAGATTTAATATGAAATTAACAATATTCTAAACTACTACATTGAAATTGCAACATTTCGACCTCGTTTATGTTTTGGCGCGTGTAAATATGCTCTTCAGCACTTTAACTTCAAGTCAAAAAAAAAAAAACAAACTTTTGTTATATTTTCGTATTGCACCCATATAAAAGAGTCAGTTATTCAGTTAACGTCATTACTTTATATGGGACACAGTTACAGAACAGCGCGCCAAGTGATAATTCACTAAAATCACTTTTGGCGCCAATTTGTTTTTGCAAAGTTGTTTAATAAAAAATACAATTACCTTATTTTTCCTAAATATGTATAGTAAAAGCAGTATATTATTTCAAAAATATGATTTTATGGGTGTCCTGAAAGGTAACAATTTAGAATTATATCCTTTCTGACTAGAGGCACAGATTTATGTAAAATTACATAACTATTACCACAGATAATATAATATTACATACTATTACTAATAACTGAAACGATTATTCGTTTTATTTTTTTTTTTAATATTTAAAATAAAGTCATCGAGTTTGATATAGATTTTTTACGTATTGGGGTCAACAGATTATCAGTCGTGCATTTATTCTGTAGGTATATGCACAGTTGGTTGCTAATTATCATATAGATAGAACATTTAAATTGAATTTATAAATAATTTAATTTACGTAAATTTAAAACAAATAGTACTTATATCAGATGAATATACTCTTTTTGCATTAATTCTGTAAAAAATCATATTAAAATATCAAACCGTTACGTGTCAAGTTCTTGTGAAGATATGTATCAATTTCATTAATTTCATTTTATATCTACGATTTTATCATTCATAACCTAAAACTAGGACGAATTTAAAATACCTATAAAAGCAGGTATTACAATCTTTGGCAATATTGTTCATTTGACATATCACTCAGTTCAAATATATTAATAACTCTTAAATATATCTTATTTCTATCCTTGGTTTCTTATAAGATAAACCAGAGAGCAGACTTTACTCATCAATATAATATCAAAGGACACAATAAAAGAAATGGCTTCTATTATTTTAACGTATTAAAATATTTAAATACGATAAACCAAATACTTATTACCCATCAAATGTAGGTACAGTAATTTGTATGTTATTTATTATATTATGAATTTGTAAGTGTATTTTAAATACTTTTATTGGGTGATTTCTTTAGAGTTCTTACATCTAATAAAAATAGCATGTCAATGGATTAATAATAGATATACCTAATAGACATTAAGTGTAGACTATAAATAATTTCATAGAGTATTTTAAAAAAATATAAAATATTTCTTACACCAGGCCCTTCGGCCAGTAATTCTACTTCATGAAGTTTGACTTCATGTTGGTGAAGACCCGAGCCACAAACACCTTGCAACTGGCGTGACTCGACTTCAGCTGCGTCACCCTCAATATCAGGTTACTCCTGGTCCGTTTGTAGTCAACAATTAATAAGTACACTCCTTCGCAAATAAGACTGGTTAAAGGCAACTGTCATACATGTATCGTTGGTCAGGACCACTTGAAGGACGGCAATAGTGTGTAGTAAGAGTTTCTGTTGTCTACAGCTGGGTTGCGTGCGAGTTACACGTGCTGTGACAGATAAGTCTACTCTAAGAGACAGTTGCAAGGTTAATGTAATCTAATTATGTTTCTAACATATGTCAGTTTATACAGAATCGCCCTAATGGGCTAGGACAAAGGGGCCCCGAGGCCCCAACCTTCACCCCCCCCAAAGAGTGGAGATGACTTGTCACTGATAAGCTCCAATAGTGACACGAATATAATGTACATGTATCCTACTACAAGAGGCTCCACTAAATTAAATAATAGCGATGCTGTTACGGGTCAAATAAATTTGTGATACTGAACACATTTTCTCAGTCTATATCACTGTTTCTCTCGCACCATATCACCGTTTCTCTATGAAAGAAACGTACAAATAGATTCGCTTTATAACACTGTTTCTTTCACTTAATATCGCTGTTTCACTCGCACTATACGACAGTTTCTCTATGAAAGAAACGTACAATTATACCGAACTTAGTCTCATCAAAAAATCTAAGTTCAAATTTAGAACCAACTAGTGATGTTAAGGCACAAATCGCGTGCTAAGACAATCGTGCTCAAATTATTTTGCATACTAATAATAAAATTCCCAAATAACAACATACATATATACAAATAAATTAATTAAAAAAAAAAAGATATACCGACTTCGTATTCAAGTTTAACAACGAAATTAAATAATACTTACGTCTATTATATTTACAGTATTAATGTGTGAAAAGTTCTATAATATTTAAAAATAAAACTTCTAATTGTCTATGTCCTATTACAGATGGGTTTACTAAGGTTAATTTTACAAACACATTTTATGTATAGATATACATATAAAATCTTTATTCATATCAACTGAGACGCATTTAATGCTACAAGCAAATACGTACATTTTTTTTTTAGATTTAGACGTCACATTTATGCAACAATCGGCTAAACTTACCAATGTTATATATAGATAATGTTACTATATATCTTCATATAGTAAAATTATATATACACTTTATGTACAGATTATGGTCAAAAAGAAATACGTACTTACGCAATACAAAAGGATCAAATTAAAAACTAGGTTTGTGACCGGTGTTGTTTACACACCAGGTCACGTGTTGAGCGGAGCGCGTTAATTCCTAAAAACTCGACCAGGGGCGGATCTACTTAAGAGCTTTTTGGGCTACAGCCCAGGGCCCCGAGGATACAAAGGGTCCCAGTCCCTACTGAAACGATATTTAGAATATAATACAAAATCTAGAATGTTAAAAAACATATCATAAGGTTGGCAACCCTAAGATCAATCAAGCCATGCAAGTGGCGCGTCTATCGAAAGGAATGGGGAATTTCTGGTTGCTTGTTTTTGGTCGGTGCGTTTTTTTAGTTGAGTAATATAATTAGGTAGACCCCTAAGTAGATTTAGCCCAGGGATGAATTCACGATCCACCCCTGAACCCGAACTTGACCGATTAGATTTTTTTGGTAAACGATGGAGGCCCGTTGTTGGAAAGTTGACCTTCGATGAAATTTTGGGCTCGGTCAAGCCTCTAAGTTCCGGAGAAATATCGTTGCAGAGTCCAAACCTGATCTCTAAGATGGCTCTGCCCTTCGGGCTCCGCTCAATTACATGATATAGTCATTTACCAGAGCTACTAACACGTTTCAGGAGACTATTAGATTAGATGATAGTAATATCTTGAACAACCTTATTGGAATGGTCTGTCTAAGAGTTACATAATACATAAATATTCTTAACAATAAATATTGAAAATTACCCTGGTATAGAGTCATGTACTAAAATTACAAAATTAATTAAAATTTAAAATTTAACTGGCAACTTTAAAATTGTAATTATTTTTCTTCCTAATTCTATATTTAAAATATAACTTACTAGCTACTCGCCCCGGCTTCGCACGGGTGTACATATATGATATATATAAAGCTTCCTCTTGAATCACTCTATCTATTAAAAAAACCTCTTCAAAATCAGTTGCGTAGTTTTAAAGATTTAAGCATACATAGGGACAGTCAGCGACTTTATTTTTTACTATGTAATAATGATGACGATAATGACGATGGCGATGTAATGAACTTATAAAGTTACTTATTTCAGGTAATTCTTTCGACATTTGAAATCATATACAATTTAACTTCACACTTTGTGTAAAGTGGTCTCTGCCTCACCCTTTACTGCCGCCAGCAGTCTGCTTTGCAGTACTACGGCATCTTAAAAGTTCTTTCTTTTAAGAATAACATCGCAAGAGCCAACTGAAACAATCACCAGTGGGCTAATTATGTAACACGATATGAAATTGTTTCTGTTCAAGTTGTGATGCAATATAAAATCATTTCAATTTAAAAAATGCGATCAAGTAAGGTCGAATGACCGCAACATAAATCATTTCTATCGATAAAACACTACTATGAAGTTGCAGCGAAGTATTGTTAATCCGACCAATTTAAAAAGTCAGTACATTAGATAGCTTATACCTTTAGAGGGATACATTTTAATTATTGCGTTAATACACTAGTTGGTTGATTTGAAACAATTTTTATTGCGTTCAAAAATTACAAAATATACTGCAGCATTCACTTGTTCTTTTATTTTAATTTTATTAATAGACATTTAATAAAATAAAATAAAGAAAGTCAATTCTATTATAATGAAAAAATAAGGTTAATAATTTTGAATATAATAGCATATTTTATACAAACTATTTATAATTATTAATAATTTTAATCTAACCTACAAATTAAATTTTCTTTTCTGCTATAGATACCTAGGTAAGTACGTAGGTATCCATATAAATTTAGAATGATATGGGCACATCTTTTTAAATTTGTACATAATTGTAAAAACTTTAAACAAATAAATTTATTTACTTTAAACAAATCACAGAGCATCATAAACGTTGTATTCCGTTCACAGAGCACCGTATTCATTGAAATAGTTTTTTTTAATTATATTAATATCATAATCAACCCTAATTTTATATTAAACATTTACTCTAGTTAATACAACATTCTATGTGATTTGGGACGAAAATAAAATATCGAATTGGCAACACTGATGTCATGTTGTGAGTCGTGAGAATTTTCCCATTTTAATAAATTTAAAACCTTTTCACGACTTTCTGCGTAATATTTAATATAATAAAAATATATGTAATACTGAAAATTACCAAAACAGGATAAATAATGCTGCTAATGCTGCTATTTTAAAGATTGTAACCAAAAGAAACACCTTCTAAATTGTTTCTCATAATGTAAAAACCGTTTCAATTCCACGCTGTCATTTCGGCAAAATAGCGATTACGTGACGTTGCAACGAGGTTACTAAATCTACATTCGATAGAAATAATTTTTATCGATATGGAAAGTTGCGTTTACGTTGCAATGCTAGTTGACAGCGTCAAATGGCGTCTATATGATCGCATTATTGACAGATGACGTCATTTTCACTACGTTACATACGAAAATCGTTGCGAACGAAGTTACATAATTAGCCCACAAAACTCAGTAATTATAAATATATAAATCGCCGACAAATCATTATATTATAAGACTCAGTAGTCTAGTGGATTGATACCGCCTTACTTCCAACGGTCGCGGGTTCGACTCCTTGCACAAATCAAACATTTCCATTCATAACGATTGTTTGTTTCTACTTATATTATGTATGTATTTACATAAAAAATACATTAAAGTATTTCTATCAGTCGTCTAGTACCTATAACACAAGCTCTTAGATTGGCACTTAGGAGCTATAGAATTAATTTAAATATTGTCATCTGTAGTATCTTCCTCCATTTTTTTTCTAATTAATATTTCATCCTTGGCCTTTAATTCAGCCTGCACCTTAGTCCAAATGTCTTGTCTGGCGGTTTCTCTCTCTTCAGTTCTCTTTGTATACATCTTGCAGAGATCGTCCGCATATTTCGATGGCTTGTAATGACCATTTTGACTGTTCCCATTATATCTCTGTCTACCATCACAACTAGACTTTATGCTTCTGGGTTCTTTTCTTTTAAATACTGGTGGCTCTAATGATATAGCGGGGGCTTTTTTTGAGGAACATTTTGTATCACCAAACCAATTATTAACTTTGTCTATAGACTCTTGGACACTAGAGTCTATGGTATAGGATGTTGATGAGCATGACTCTAAAGCATCACTTGAACTAGTCTGTTCATGTACACTGTCACTAAGAGAAGTTTTACACAAGTCTTGTTCACACACTGTATTACTAGAATGTTCAATGATTTTATTTCCTATAAAGAAATCAGGCGTCACAAGTTTCAACGGTTCATCTTCTTTACGTTCTTCAAATGTGGATGGTGTTTTTGTTTTCGGCTTTGCTGAATAGAGTTTTAACAGAGCTGCTATGGCTACATTTCTCTCTTTCTTTTGTTGTGAAGTATCTGCTCTTGATGAATTGCTAACTTTATCTCTTAGTTTCTCAGCAATGTCATTGATTTCTTGTTGCTTTAATTTCGTTAAGTCAACCCCGTTATCTATAATTTCAGCTGTCGTCTCGATGTTGTTGGTGTTGTTTTCGGCATTTCTAGTTTTTGGTTCACTAGCCTTTGAAGTATTTGGTATAAATTCTCTAACATTGGGATTTAATTTACTAATTGTAATGACCTCGGTCGGAGAATCTCGCGGGCTGCACTCGACATCATCGACCTGAAATTAAAAAAAAGCTTTTATAATTATGTTAACACAACTTATACTTATTTGGCTTGAAAAATTCATGAGGACGGTTTATACATACTATATACATGTACACCCGTAAGAAGCTGACGGTAAGTTAGTTAGAAATAACTTCAGTAATGATAAAAATAATATGAAATTGTCGCGTACAAGCAGCAACAAAACGCAACACAAAAGGAGCGTTCTGATTGGACCGCACACCCATCCAATTTAAATACGCAACGTAACGTACAGACTTCAAATATCAACCGATCGATCTAACGTATAATTCTTCACTCATCCATAATTTGTAATTAATAGTATATTTACCATTAAATTTAAGATCAACCATCTATCATTCGAGCCGCAATCATCATATTACATTACATACATTCATCTACCATCTGAGCATTCGAGCCGCATCATCACGTACCAGAAATCAATAAAGGAATCTAGGAGTTAAGGTAATGAAACACTTATTATAAACAGGAAAGCTGTTATTATGCATTTACTTAATCCGAATACCTTTAAATGTCACTAAAAATTTTTAAATATTCGAATATTTAGAGATTTCACCAACGTCCTTCTTGACTCAGCGCCAGCAGGTGTCAGTCACGTAGCATCTATTGTAATTTTTGATCTTGTTTTGGCGTTAAGGCGTTTTGTATGTTCAATTCGCGTCATTTATAATTTTGAAACAATTTTTTTTATGCTTTTTTCGAATTTCTGTGTATGTATCGATACTACTGTTTTAAAGGAAAAATGCGGACAGACACAACTCTCAACTACTTAGCAGGTTGCAATGATTTTGGTTATTTAGATGTTTTTATTTATATAGCATAAAAGTGTATAAAATAATAGCAGTAATATTTATCAAAATCCAATATATTACCACGGGATCTTTCTTTTTCTATTCAGTTTTACCAAATAAGATTTCGCCAGCGATTTTTTTAATCTCTTTTTTTTATTTTTCTTATGACTTTTTGCTATCTCAATATTATCGCCTATTAATGGGATGAATGATAGGATATATTATCCCATCGGTCTCAGTGATCTAGTGGTACAGCGCACCGCTTTAGTTCGGGTAGTCGCGGGTTCGATTCCTTATACGGTACAAACATTTGTATAAGTGAGTATGATTATTTGTATTGGTCTGGCTGTTTTTTAGGCATATTACGTATACCTTTATATTTATTGTAATAACTGAGTATACATATATATACAAAATTTCGATTCAAAGTATAGCTATCGCATTTTTTGTTTTTACATAACATAGTGTATTAAAAAATAATCTATACCTGCATATAAATAAAATTGGAGTGTCTGTTTGTAATAATGAAATAACCGTTTTTTACTATATGCATATGAATACAAATACGGTACATATACCAAAATGTCATTTTTTACAATTTTTGTCTGTCTGTCTATCTATTTGTTCCGGCTAATCTCTGAAATGGCTGGACCGATTTTGACAAGACTTTTTTTGGCAGGTAGCTGGTGCAATAAGGGTAACATAGGCTACTTTTATTTTAGAAAAAAATATTTACTTTAGAAAAATAAAGTTAATTTCCACGCGGACGAAGTCGCGAGTACAGCTAATATAGAATGTAAATAGAATCGAACCTGCGACCGTCGAAAGTAAGGCGGTGTAATAATTCAACCACCGAGGCCATCAAATAAAACATTTGACTCATAAATGTCATGTCAAGTATTTAAACAATTTACAGTGGGTTGCCAAATTAATAGGTACAGTCACGAAATATTCGTTTTTTGTAAAACATTGGACTGAGTTCTTCTGCTTACGCTTTGCATAAGTTAGTTCCAACCGTAAACAAATCGAGTATACTTGCTGCATATCATGGTATTGCTGGTTCGATTTTACGGTATGGTATTATATTTTGGGGAAATTCGACAAAGAAAGAATTTGCATTTAAAGCTCAAAAAAGGTGCATAAGATCCATGTTTAGACTTAAAACTACTGACAGCTGTATGCCTTATTTTAAGCAACATAACATATTAACAGTACCATCATTATATATTTATGAAGTATGCGTATTTGTTAAAATAAACAAGCACTTATTTCCACGACTTTCTGAAATTGTAAATCGCAATCGACGTGACATTGATAAATTATGTATTAAAAAATCTACGACAAAGCTTATGCATGACAGTATATTATGTATGGGACCTAAAATATATAATAAGTTACCTAAATACTTGAAGAGCCTTCCCAATAATGTATTTAAAAATAAATTAAAGAGGTTGTTGATTGACAAATGTTATTATTGTATATCAAACTTTTTAGATGATAAATTTGACGAAATGTTTTATTAATTTTATATTATTGTGCATATACTTAAGTTGTAGTTTTTGTATTATTATGACATCATTCTTTTTTATTATTGTTTAACATTTAAATTTAATATTTTATTGTAGCATTTAAATATATTGTATGCCATTTAGGCTAAACATGTCGGACAAATTCCTTGTATGTATATCATCTACTTATGTAATCACGCATGTTTTACAAATAAAGAATCTTGAATCTTGAATCTTGAATCTTGAATTGGTCTATAATTAATTAAAAACGTCACTTTAGGCTATAATTATATTTAATAATATCAGACACATATCTTATAATGAATTTAGACTATAATAATTTAATATTTGAACAACTAGAAAATATAAACAAGTATAATAAAAATGATGATGGGAAATTATTAGTATTTTGTCACATTTCCTTTTGCTTCTATCAGTGCTTGAATCCGCCTCGGCATACTTTCAATACACTGTTTAGCACTTTCTTTTATTTTGGGATTGTGAAACCATACATTGATTAATTTTTCAATTAGTTTTACTTTGGTAGTTATGATTTCCTTAGCAATTTCCGCCTTGGTAATTTCCCACAAGTTTTCTATGGGATTCATATCAGGAGAATTGCCAGGCCAAGGTAAAACTGGAATGTTGTGGTCTTCCAAAAATTTGGTTACACTCCTCGCTTTATGACATGGAGCTGAATCGTGCATAAACACCTCATCCTCTGAGAGTGATTTGTGTGTAGGAGAAGGCTTTTAACCTCGGATTTTTTTCTCGGAGTCAAATCTACCCCTCGACCCATAGCCAAAGCTGAAAATATAAAAATAAATTAAAATTGTTCTAAAATCCGCTCCAAAATACTTTAATTTTAATTATAGTAAAATATTACTTACTTGCAGGTATTGATTATTTCACAAAACCACTAAAGAACTGTTTAAAAGAATAATTTACGTGTTTCACTTTTACACGTGTGAACGACTGTGTGTCTCTCCCGTCATTAAAATATATTTCCAAAATAAACAAATCTCTCAGCACTTGAAATTCACTTTGAATTTGAGTTATAGAGACAAGGTGAACATAAAAACATATCAGCAAAAAACTTTTACCACTTAAAAACGTAGTCAAGACCACTTGAAGAACAAAAATTATAAAAAATGTGACTATCCCTATTAATTTGGCAACCCACTGTATGCCACTTATGGAGGCCGGACGGCGAAGGAGAGATAAAAAAACACGTCAACATTCTGAGAAACTCATGTTTCGAGAGCACGATTGTGTTACAATTGCTTGAATACCGCCGCTGTTTATATACGTAAACTAGCTTTTGCCCGTGGATTCGCTCGCGTTAATTTATCCCCTTAGGGGTGGAATTTATCAAAATCCTTTCTTAGGGGATGCCTACGTCATAGTAGATTTATGCATGCAAAGTCTCAGCCCGATCGGTTTAAAATTGACAAAGTTTCATATAAATTTTCATCCCCTATTTTATCCCTTTGGGGGTAGAATTAATCAAAATCCTTTCTTAGCGGATGTCTACGTCATAGCATCTACCTGCATGCCAAATTTCAGCCCGATCCGTCCAGTGGTTTGGGCTGTGCGTTGATAGATCACTATGTCAGTCACCTTTGAGTTATATATATTTAGATGGTGTATCAATCATTCAATGATTTAGTTTAATCAATAAAAGTTATTTAGAAATCATAAAGAGGTAAAGTTTGTGTTCGCGCCATCTATTGACGACTGGGCGCAAATAAAGTTAACGGCGTGATGTTGGCAACAAACGGCTTCACTTCGACACAATTCAAATAAACGCAACATCATAGTTTGTACCATTGTAACAAAATTATAAAATATAAAAATAATAAACGATACCGAGAGGAAAGGAAGGGTCATTTCAATCATTTGGACCTTCTTCGCCGGAATAATACTTCAAGATATCAAGAAATAATAAAATCGACTACAATAATTCTTCAAGATACCACGGAAGTCGATCGCCGGTGTGTATCAAGAAGACGATATCGAGAAGAAGAATCAGCTCAGATTATACGGTCAGGTCATACTATTCGTTCCATTCCTCTCCTATACGACTATTCTATTTGTGTTAATACTGTGTTATTTGTGTGAAATTCCAGTTGCAAAAGCGGTCACAGTGCTATTACCGAGTCAGGGTTCAAAGGTCGGGGTGATCTTAAACGATTGTAAGTACGCTTTATTTTCCATTTACTTTCCGAAATGAGTGATAAAGATAAAGGTGATACTTTAAAAATGCGTGTTTCGTCTGAAATTCAGGGTGGTAGTAGATCGCCATCCAAAAAAAGTAACGGTAATTTTGAATTTAAAACTGCTAGTATTTCGAACCTTAACAAACAAAGAGGTATTTTAAAGGCTAGATTAACATCATTTGAAAAATATATATCCAAATTCGATAATATTCCTTTAGATAAAACTCTTAAAATAGAATTAAACTTAAGAATATCCACATTAGAATCGGTATATAAAGATTTTGATGACATTCAAAGTAAAATCGAACAATTAACAGATGATGATGATCTTTCTAATCAAATAACATATCGTGAGAATTTTGATGAACAGTATTATGGATGCATTGCGGTAGCTAAGTCTTTAGTTGTTGATGATAGTCATAGTTGTGATTCTCATTTACATCGTAACCGAGAAGGCTCCCAAATAAAATTACCCGACCTAAAATTAGTATCCTTTGAAGGATTTTATGATCAGTGGCTAGAATTCAAAAATTCCTATTGTACTATGATTCATAAACGTACTGATTTGGATCCTATACAAAAATTCCATTACCTGCGGTCGTCACTCAGCGGTAGTGCATTGCAGGTGATCAGTGCATTAGAATTCACAGCTGAAAATTACACACATGCGTGGGAATTGCTTCTTAATCGATTTCAAAATGATCGACTTTTAGTACACAACCATGTTAAGTCTTTATTTTGTATGCCATCTATTAATAAAGAGTCGCCTTCGCAAATCAGAAAATTAATAGATTGCATATTACGTAATTTACGCGCTTTAAAGACGTTAGATGAGCCGACCGAATCATGGGATACACTTATAATGTACTTAATAGTATCAAAACTCGATCCTTGTACCGAACGCGAGTGGGAGAATTACAAAGGTTCTCTTATTTCTAATATACGTAATGATGACTGCAATAAACGTAAATTAAAACTGGATGATTTGTTAACTTTTTTTAAAAACCGTGCAGATCTATTAGAAATGATAAACGTAAATAATTCGAATAAAAATACTAATGTCACTAAATTAAATAATAAATATGTTCACGACAGTAAAATTCAAAGGTTACAAACACACACACATAGTTATTTAGCTAATAAAAGTAAGCCTATTAAACGTATACGATCTTGTATTTTGTGCAATTCAAATCATGCATTGTACTTATGTAGTATGTTTTTAAATCTACCTGTCAAAGATCGCATTAAATTAGTAAACGATAACAATCTTTGTTGTAATTGCTTGCGTGCTGGACACTCGGTCAGTGATTGTTTCTTTGGCCCTTGCCAGCAATGTAAACGCAAACATAATAGTTTGTTGCACACCGATGTGCACTCTAACGGCGAATCGTTGCCGAGTAATAATGAGCTCTCCGCAGTAAATAATACGCACCATACAACATCTACTGTGTTGCATTCATCGCTACCTATAGATATACATAGCAGCGATAACAACTTCACGAGTACGTCACGGGCTCACCTGACCGCGCGACCGGTTTTGCTATCTACTGCACAAGTCGAAGTACTCGATAGTAATAACAGACTACACACGGTTCGCGCTCTCTTAGACAACGGCAGTCAACATTGTTTTATGTCCGAAGCGTTATGTAAACGATTAAATTATACGAATTTTATACAGTCCACTATTCAAATATTAGGTGTAGGACAATCGGTCTCACACTCTAATAAATTATGCGATTTAACTATACGATCTAAATTAAACGATTATTATACGAATATTAAATGTTATGTTTTACCTTGCATCACTTCAAACTTACCGTCTGTGAGTATCGACGTTGGTTGCATATCGATTCCGAATAATATTCAACTGGCCGATCCGACTTATAATACACCCTCCGAAATCGATTTATTAATAGGCGCGGAGATATTTTGGGAATTATTAATCGATAATAAAATTAAATTAAAATGCGGTCCTTATTTACAAAATTCGCAATTAGGATGGTTGATATCCGGTCCTATTAATTATAATAATCCGCATTATAACAATAATGTTTTGTGTAATTTTATACAAACTTTAAACGATACAAAATTTAAAAAATTGGGAGGTAGAAGAAACTCCTCACGTTGGAATATTCTTACTTCTGACGACCGTAAATGCGAAAAAATATTTACCAGCACGACAAAACGTGAATGTGATAGTAGATTTTCAGTTCATAGACCGTTAAAGAAATCAGCTGATTTATTAGGTGACTCATATACGGCAGCTTATAAACGTTCTATTCCTTTAGAACGTAGATTAAAGCGTATGCCACTTTATAAACGTATGTGCCCTTGCAGTGACTTCAGGCGGGTATATCGCGAGTCAGGTCACATGTCTCAAATAAAAAGGTACAGTTGGCCATATTATTTCCTTCCACATCACGGGGTATTCCGTGAGGATAGTACCACAACTAAATTATGAGATATGTTTGATGCTGGTTTTTAGGCAATATCAGTTCGTAGCGTTCGTATTTCTTTCGATAAACATTAATTAATTCTAATTCATGTAATATATAATTCAGTAGTTTTAGTTAAATTATTTTGTGTAAAAGGCAAAGTACCCCCTTTAAATTAATTAAATAAATAATTTAATACTTTAATAGGTGTACGATTATATAAAAATAATTAATTCGATTAGGTTAAAATTTATTGCAATTACTTTAGACAGACTCGACTAGAGACACATCGTGATGGGTTAGTTACGTATGTCTCCACATTTATTAAAAACCTTTATACAGAACCGAGTATTATAATAAATAAACGAATTAATAGGTGATTTATTGTGGTTACATATAGACGGTAATAATAATCCAGCGGACCTAGTGTCGAGCGGTCTTTATATAAACGCGCTTAGGGACAATCGTCTATGTTGGGACGGTTCGACATTTTTTACATTGTAATAAATAATTAAACAAACAAAATTTAGGTATTTCAAATGCTTTACCTGAATTGAGAAATAAAATGATAAATATAGTTTGCGTAAATTCGAAAAAAAATATATAATTTTAATAGGTTTTCGACATGTAATAAATTAAAGCGAACGGGAACGTATGCACTTAGGTTCATTCATAATATTCGTACTAAACAACAATGTAAACCCGGTTCTCTCACAGCTGATAAACTGATGTCGTCAGTACAGGTGTTATCGCAGATTGCACAGATGCATTCATTCTCATCTTTATATAATAGTTTAGTTAATGCGATTTCTATAAAAAAAGTGTAATGAAACAAATAAGGTTTAGGTTAAACGTATTTGTAGATAGTAATAAATTAATTAATATTGGCGAGACTTAATCATTTTAATTTTAACTATAATAAAATTTATAAAATATTGTTGTGTAGTAAAAGTAGATACACAATTTATTATTCGAACAGAAACATAAGTCAGTAAGTAACTGGACCAGTTTTCATATTAAGTCTTAGGGGTGCTAAATTAATTAAAGGTCATATTTGCATATTTACATGTCTGGCTACGCGATGCATTCATTTAGAATTAAAATTAATTCATTTAAATAAACGATTATATTTTAGCATTTAAACGTTTTATTGGAAAGCCAGCGGAAATATTTTCCGATAACGGGAAAAATTTTGTGGGTGCTGAGAGAGAATTTTCTTCAATCTTACAAAACGGATTAAATACGATAAATGATTTCTTGGCTAATGATAGTATAAAGTTCACCTTCATCCCTCCATATGCACCTCATTTCGGGGGTTGTTGGGAAATTTGCGTCAAATTGTGTAAGAATCATCTTAGACGAATAGTAGGCAATGCTAATTTAAATTATGAGGAGTTCAGCACGGTATTGACACAAATAGAGGCCGTCCTGAACTCCCGTCCCCTCTCAGCCATGTTCACAGATCCCGCCGATTATTCACCTTTAACTCCTGCTCATTTCCTCATCGGCTGACCTCTGACCGCTCCTGCTTGCCACGACTTCACCAACACGCAGAGCAGTCAACTCATTCGATACAACCGGGTGGAACAGATGAGACAACATTTCTGGAGAAGGTGGTCGACGGAGTATGTGACACAGCTACAGAACAGAATCAAATGGAAAGAAAATAAAGGCGATATAAAATTGGGAACTCTTATCTTAGTGAAGGAAGATAATCAACCCCCTCTTAAATGGCGTTTGGGAAGGATTATACGAGTTTATCCAGGCAAAGACGGAATCTCACGAGTTGCTGACATTCGCACGGCGACTGGCCAAATACAGCGTGCATTTACAAAAATTTGCCCGCTGCCACTATCTACTGATGAAAATAAATCATCAGCTCCTACAACATCGTCTACAACCTATACGACAAATTCTGATAATTGATATATATTTTAATAATGAATTGAAAGCAGCGGCTTCCAAGGCGGGCGGTATGTTCGCGCCATCTATTGACGACTGGGCGCAAATAAAGTTAACGGCGTGATGTTGGCAACAAACGGCTTCACTTCGACACAATTCAAATAAACGCAACATCATAGTTTGTACCATTGTAACAAAATTATAAAATATAAAAATAATAAACGATACCGAGAGGAAAGGAAGGGTCATTTCAATCAGTTTGTATGAAGGTATGGATCCAATTTAAAAAATTCTTTCACTCTTAGAAAAGTATATTAACCCCGAGTTATATTATTAATATGATAGCATATTAATTTTTCTGATACTTAAGCTATATTATTGTAAAATTTCATCAAAATCCGTTCAGTAGTTTTTGCGTGAAAGAGTAATAAACATCGTCTAGAACGCCTATACAAGTGGTATTACCGTATAAATATTTTTGTTTGTTCATAATCTAATGTTAATAAGCATTTAAGATTAAATTTGGCCATATGGTGTGTTTGACAATGAATATTAATTGTTTTGTTAATTTTATTATACATATATGTATACACACAAAAAAATGTTGGCGTCTTGCAAAGGCTGTACGACATTTTATAGGCTCCAAAACTGTACTTACCATCCGTAAATAATCTGTGATTCCCTTCAGGTCTGGTTCCACGCTCTCGTAGACTAATCCGTTGTGGACTGTCCCATTGAATCGCAGTTCGAATTCTTCATCTGTAAAAAAACCAATGGTATTACCATGATTAATAATACTCATGATTAATTACAAAAAACAATTATAACTGTCAAATTTGTCTCTCTAGTAATGGAACACACCGATAACAAAGCACTTACGACATTTTACTCAGCATCCATTACGCATTCACGCTCTATTGACTTACGACATTTTACTCAGCATCCATTACGCATTAATAGTATATAATTTACCATACTAAAGGTCCTGATCGCTGCTCGCTGGAGTAGGCGTGTTCTAGAGTGGAGACCGCGAATTGGCAAACGTAGTGTAGGACGCCCCGCAGCTAGGTGGAGCGACGACATACGTAGGGTTGCGGGTAGTAACTGGATGAGAAGGGCTGAAGATCGTGCCCAGTGGCGTGGCTTGGGAGAAGCTTATGTCCAGCAGTGGACTGCATTGGGTTGATGATGATGACTAAAGGTCCTAAACCGATACCGTTCTGATGCGTCATGTCAGGACACATCAGACAAGTATAAATCCACCATAAATTATTTTTTAATTTGAATCTGAACAACTTACCATCAATAACCTCTCTACACGTGGGCGGTGGTCTCTGTCCGGTCAGAATATAACTGTCCTCCAAGTTTGCGATTCCTATCCTGGACAAGTCTTCAAGCACATCCTTCTTGGAGAACCATGTGTTTTGAATGTAACTCATTTTTCATAGATTACTGAAACAAATAGTAAATTAGTATAATTTTTACTAATTACCTTAGCTTGGACCTAGATGGCGCTGTATAAATGTACGGCATCTTTGGAGAAAACAAGATTGCGTACAGTAGAAAATAGTTTTATTGTGTACGGAGTAGTCGAGCACAGCTAGGTAACAACTCGTTCGTTCGTTTATGAAGCGACTCGTTCGTAATCAGGAAGGGACTCGATCGTTATTAGGAAGCAACTCGTTCATAGTCAGGATGTGACTCGTTCGTAGTCAGGAAGCGACTCGTTCGTTATTAGAAAACGACTCGTTCGTTTTGGGAAGCGACTTGTTTGTAGTCAGGACGCAACTCGTTCGTAGTTAAGACGCGCCTCGTTCGTAGTCAGAACGCGACTCGTTCGTAGTAAGGACGCGACTCGTTCGTAGTCAGGAGGCGACTCGTTCGTAGTCAGGACTCGACTCGTTCGTAGTAAAGACGCGCCTCGTTCGTTATTAGGAAGGGACTCGTGCGTAGTAAGGAAGCGGACTCGTTCGTAGTCAGGACGCGACTCGTTCGTTATTAGGAAGCGACTGCTTATGCCGGGGAGAGGGCACATATATATATATATTTGTTTATCCTAATAGTCATTAGATAAGTATCCAGGATGGAAACAACACATTATTTAATTATTTGTAAAGATACGAAATTTTATGAGAAAGTGAAACTTATGATGATCTAATGTGGTTACTTGTCTAATGAACTATTTATCACGTTCCTTGCTATAATCTATTACATAAATTGTCTATTATTATCTATCTACGTGAAGCAAAAATTTTGTACCCTTTTTACGAAAAATGTGCGGATCGGGACCACTAGATATTATTATACTGTTTTAAATTAATCGATTTTACCCGTGATGATGGCGATTGAAGCCGATATATAGATATAACTCAATAAAAATAAATACTGGAAAGAATCCGTGATTTTTACTAATTACACTAGTTATTATTAAGTAATAAATTTGACTCGACAAACATTCAAGCTTGTTATATAGGCAGTGCGCAGCCCTAAGGAAAAGTGCTGACCAGCAGCACATGTACGCTTTAAAAAATGCGACCTCATTGTCCTAATTACCCAATACAGCTGTGTAACAATTTTAATCGGAATATTGTTAATTTCATTTATACAAATGAAATTGGAGTGTCTGTTTGTAATATTGAAATAACCGTTTTTTATTTAAATTATTAACCGGGTCTTAACACGAATAATTTTAGAGTTAAATAGAGTTAGTATAGGTAAATACCTTTATTTGCCATAAAATTATTCTTAGAAGAAATAGAAATAATCATTATTCAAATAAACTCATTACAAGCACTTTTGAATAGTCATATTTTGATTCTACCGCTCATTCGGAATGCAGATTCATCACAAGAAGAACGAGCAAGAAACTTGTGTGTTGCTCTTTTTAATAGATGTTTTTTTTATATAAATAATTACAGTATAACAAGTAAGAGGCATGCGATCAACATAGAAATCGCTACGCACTCATTATTAGTGTAATCAGATAATATTGTCAGTGCTATGGTTTTAAAGTTTTTCTATAAAAACATTATTATCGTTAACGAATTCTTCAATTTTATAGTAAGCTTTTTTGCAAAGGAACTGTTTTATTTGACATTTAAATCTTTTTTCTGGCAGATTTATAACAGACTCTGGTATTTTATTGTAAAACCTTACGCAATTTCCATAAAACGAATTACTAATTTTAGCCAAACGACATTTAGGTAAAATCAGTTTGTTATTGTTACGTAAGCTTTTATTACTGCAATCACTAACTCTTTTGAAACTGTCTATATTTTTCCTGGTATAGATGATATTTTCATAAATGTATTGAGAAGCAACGGTGAGGATATTTGATTCCTTAAAACACTCTCGCAATGACTCCCTGGAACCCATACCATAAATGGAGCGACAGGCCCTCTTTTGTAAAGTAAATATTGTATTTATATCAGCTGCTTTGCCCCATAACAAAATACCATACGACATAATGCTATGGAAATAGCTAAAATAGACAAGTTTATTCGTGTTAAGATCCGGTTAATAATATAAATAATGTATATTAAACACGAAAGTTTGAAATTAACCGTTTTTTACTACATGCATTTGAATATAAATACGGTACATACACACCAAAAAAACACTTTTTGCAGTTTTTATCTTTCTGTCTGTCGGTCTGTTTGTTCCGGCTAATTTCTAAAATGGCTGGGCCGATTTTGACGAGACTTTTTTTGGCATGTACCTAGCTGATGTAACTTAGGCGACTTTTATTTTAGAAAAAAAAAATAATGTTAAAATACCCACGCGGACGAATTCGCGAGAACAGCTAGTATTAAATATGAATGCTGAATAAGTTGTTAAGACATTTGTGGCATGTCTTACGAAATACATGATACCTTAATTCTCATTATGAATAATCAGTATCAGGGATGTACAACACGCGGCCTGCGGGACAGTTGCGGCCCGTTAAACATGTTTATGCGGCCCTTTCTATAATTACATTTATTTTTTCTATATATTGTTATAAAATGGTATTTATTCACTTACAAGTTATTCACTTGTAGGCGTCTTGTTCAAACATGCAATACGAATGATTGCATTATAAGTTGTACAGGAAATGTTTACTTTTTTTAAATTTTATATTCTAATGTTTATTAAGTATGTGTGACCCGCCAAACAATTTAAAAATTTCAATTGGCCCATTCATTAAAAAAGTTTGTTCACCCCTGATCTATACTATTATTATATACTAGCTGCACCCGCGACTTTGTCCGCGTGGAATTTAACTTTATTTACAGCACCATAAAAGTTCCGTATTCCGTTGTGCATTGAAATAGTTTTTGAATTATATTATAAACAATCCTAATTTTATATTAAACGTTTAGTCTCGTTGATACGTTTTTTTAAGCTTTAAGAAAAACAGGTATCTTTACTGTTCTCTCTCAATATATATATACGTATATGAAAATATTATGTACATACGTAAAAACTTAAATTTATTTACAAATAATAGTAACTTACACGCTTTTAATACAAGGAATAAAAATAAATTAAATATGCCTAGTTTTCGTTTCAAAAAAGTAAGTACATCTTTCATGGGATTTCATTATATACATTTTTATAATAAATTGCCAGATAATGTTTTGAATTTAAATGAACGGAAATTTAAGCTACATGTAAAAAATAGACTTTGCTCTAAAGCACATTATAAAATATACTACTACTTGAATGACTGCAATACGTGAACTTAATTCTAACTTTTGTTAGAAAGAAAAGAAAGAAAGAAAAGAAAGAAAATTGTTTATTAGGTACACTGAAAATAATTTTTAAAATTTAATTTACATTTATATTAATAATTACAGTACCAAATAGGTCTCCGCTCAGCATATGTCGTGACGGGGTGCCACGACGCTGGTTTTCAGCGGACAACTTCATATACAATAAACATGTTATGAGGTAAACAGTAAAGAAACTTATTATAAATTTAGTAATGCCATATTGTAATTTAAATAATGTAAATTAAATATTACTATGAGTGAAAACTGTTATTGTTACAGCCTATGCTGTAAATAATATAAATGACGTAGTGGAGTAACATGAAACAGTCATGCTCGCTATAAAGTTCAAACTTGTGGCGGCCGGCGTGGTGGGCCGGGTGGATGTGCTCCTTGTAATGTGATTGAGTGCAATGATGGCTGGCTTATCCGTCATACTCGTGAACAGGTGCTGCTTGTGGGGACTTGTCTGACGAACACTGATTAGACTTGTTCGCTTTTGCAATAGCATATGCCGATGGTCACTCTATTCTCCCAAATTTGAATTTTAATGAATCTGTATTATTGTAAACATGTACAACATTTATTTGAAAAGAATACGAGCTGAGCTTCTTGTCAGTTCTTCTCATCTCGAAATCATTCCGAAGTAAAGGTAGATTGGGCCGTATGTTTGTTTGCCACCTACGTAGTTAAAAAAAAAATTTGACATATAAAGAATCTGTAATAGACCTACATTAGAGATGTCTCAATGATGATGTGTCGAGTTGGAAGAATTCAACTGACAAATGAATGAAAGAATCAAGTGAAAGAGCGAGAGCAAACTAAAGCCATAACAACAATAATTGAAGTGGATAAGATAGATTAATCCACAAACAAGGGCAGAGACAATAAATAGTTCGACCGACAATGACAGTCATGTAGTTTTCCGATCATTTCATATCATACAATATTCACTCGTCACACATGTCTCAATATTGATTTGAGGTTGTTATAATTTTTTTCCCATATTCGTCCGGTTATCTTATCATAAAAATTACTAAATTAGCGGTTGACAGTTGTCATTTGTTTGTTATTTTTAAATACCTAGTGTTAGAATATATTAATCTCTATCTTTAAAGTAACTTACTCTGTACAACTTTTGTGTTCTCTGTTATTTTTTTATTATCTATGATTCTTTCACCTTGACCTACTTCCGGTTTTTGTTAAGACAATAAAAGATGTCGTCTTTTTGTTAAAATAAATTACAAAATAAGTACATAAGTATCTAATCATTTCATAATTATCAACACTAGTACTTTTTTTATACCACGTAGGTGGCAAACAAGCATACGACCCATCTGATGTTAAACGGTTACCGTATATACCGTTATAGTATATTTTTATAAATGTTGGGATTTAATAGGAAATCCCTTCCGCGGTTTTGAAGTGCCATTTCTACTCGCCCCCTATGGTTTGGTGAAGCTTACAAGGCTAGCTGCGACCAAAAACATTAGAATTGTTCGAAAATTAATAAATACTGTTTATTCCAGGTAACTAGAGTCAACTCAAGTTAACTCGATTTTCCTGAATTTTAACTCGAGTTAAATCAAGTCATGTTAATTAGGAGTTAGCACATCTCCAACCTACATGAATAAAGATATTTTGAACTTTGAAATTGGACATTTATTTTTATTATTAGTAAATGCACAATTGTCAAGTAAATTACGTGCGTCGCAGCCGCAGG